CTCGTCTGCATATGTGAAAGTAAACCATTTCCTTCTATGTATTAATGTAAGTCACTAGCACCTATTTGTGCTCCATGAAGATCTGGTCCAGGCTGTGCTCATGTTTTCTGTGAATGTGGAGTGAGAAATTTAAGTGTGGGGGTTAGCATAGTTCAGTGCTGTAGTTGGAACTGTTTTTATGTTAATAGACATGTTTTGTAAGATATCATTTAAAGAAATCCCCAAGTAAGTACAAAAAGAATTGAGTATGTCTTTATAGTGCTTTAAAAACTGATTTCTTTGACACAGTTGTGTACTTGTTGAGAAGAAATCACACAAAGCTTCTATAATTAAACCATTATGTGCTGTTTATTATTGCAAAAACCCCACAGAATTTGGCATTACCAGCTGCTAATCTCTTTGGGATTGTTCTGTAATTGAGTTCACGTTCTTCACTTGTATTTATAATACATTGCTAAATTTGTGCTGTGTTTTATGTACCGCTCCACTTTTCTTCTGCTGTTCCATGAGTGACATGCCTGAGAACAAAGAATGATGCCATTGCTTTCTTTCAGGCCACTTCTCCAAATCCACCTACCACCACCACCTCTCCCCTGCTGCTGAGCAGCCACTGGCAGGAGTTCAGCACTTCTGGCTCCTATGTCTGCCTGTGCAGCTGAAAACAGGTCAGAAAGTTGCAAAGGCAGACCCAGCCTGCTGGGATTGATGACCTCGTGGCATATTCTTCCTTAAGCATAGAAAATGCTTAGCATTTCTGTAAGCAAGATTCTTTCTTCAGACATGTCATGGAGTTGGACAGCTGCATAGCTCCATCAGCTGATACTATGAGCTCTAAGAGCTTGAGAGAAGCATACTTAAGGATGTATTTATGTGTAGAAGGAGTAAGAGTCATTAGAAAGCTTCCTTTTCAACATGAAGGGGTTAAAACAATAATTTGTCATCTAAATTTCATTTTTTTAATCACAAACTATTATACAACTATAGAAATGCTTTTAATATTTTTCGTTTGAGACAGAGAAGTATTGTAAGTTTTCCCTTATAGCCAAGCTCCATTTCCTTAGTTGTTAGAATATTTACATAAATTTAATTTAACTGAAGACTGCAGGCCAACTGAAGGAAGAAAACAGTGGTCCTTAATTCGCACTTCTGAAATACATTGCATCAATATATACATTGAATCAATGGGAACAGGAAAAAAAGTAATGGTAAACTTTTGGCCTGTACCTCTAAATGGATGACTTCACTGTGAAATCTGTTTTTTCCAACAGAAATACTTCATTGTCCATTCAAAATATTGTTTTCCGATTAGAAATTTTGTGCATTTGCTTAGCAAAATATGTCTCTTAAACTAAAGTTCAGATTCTGGTTATTTTCCATGTAAATAACCAAGTATTTAGAAAAAAAAAAGGAGAACAATCCTTAAAACATTGCAAATGGAAAAGGTGGTTTGGAAGCTTGAGGCAACCAGAGAAGCTCACTCAATGATAAATCTTCACTGAAGAGATTTTAGAACTATTTCAGCACTATTTTGTTAAATAATTTCTTTGCTCTAACTTTGTATGGCCACATTAATGTTAGTAAAAACGCTACAGTGTTAGTGCCAGGGACAAACTAATAAATCCAGGTTAGATCCTTTCTTCTGTCTTAAGTCATATAGATGCTATTGTGTATAGTTGACACATTTTCCTTGATCCTGTTTGGGGAAAGGGACAGCTAATGTGATTCAAATAGCTTTAACGCAGACATTTCATCATCTTCCAGAGTTTTGGGCTTTAATTCTTTCCAACTTCCAGTCTGCCCAACATTTGCTTCACTTCAAGAGGAAAAACAGGGTCTTCTGTTTGCAGAAGTTTTTATTATTTAAATTCCCTTTTCAGTCAAATATACGTTAACCTTTTTTTGGCCTGGGAAATTTCTGTCAGTTATGTGATCATGAACTCAAAGTACCACTTTTTCAATTGGTGTGCAAATAACATCTGTAGTCACAATCACTCATTGGTTAATGTAACCTAGAGTACGTTTGATTGACATTAGGGCTGTTCTGTAGTGTCACTTGTTTTCTTCTGAACTGTGGAAGTTAATTCAGATTGCCAGCTAGAAAAAGGTGCTTTTTTTTGCTTCAGTTCAAGACCTCAGATTTTTTTCTAAACAACTTTTTTTTTTAATCTCATACCATGATCAATACAACCTCTCACTATCAGATGTGTTACAACCAGTGACTGTATAAAACATAACAAATAAATGGAGTCAGACCTGTATCCAGCATCAACATTATTACATTCCTGCATGCTTTCATGTACTGGACCTCAGAATGTAATCCAATGCTGGTATGGCCTGGGTAAGTGGAGAAACAATACCAGAGAGAAAATGTGTGTGTCCATCTGACTAAAAAATGGTGTGTCTCCGCCTGCTTTCACTGGGCACTGGTTTTGCTATTATCATTATTAGGACAAGCCAGGGCTGCAAAAACCCCAGAGCTGTCCTCCTGCAAATCAAGGCAAGTCAAGGAGTGGAACATGGTGTCTCTGCCAGCTCCATTGGCTTTGGCTGTCATCTTTGCCCTGATGACTCATGAAGCTTCTTCCATCCCTTAAAATTTTCCAGTTGTGAGCAGTAGCTTGCTTGTCTGTTGTCTCTTAGTGAGACCCTTTCTGTCAGATAAGAAGAAATGTGTGCAGCAGGTACTCGCCCGTTGTCTGAGGATTCTCCTTCTCCCCTCTCCATCACTATTGATGCTTGTTCCCAGCACACAGGCCCTATTCTGGGATCTTTTTTAACTCTTTTTCCCTTATCACACACATCCAGAGCATCTTGTTACATGTCTCCTCTCAATATGTCCAACCCCGGCAACATTCTGTAATCCCCAAATCTCCCTCTTTTGGGCCCTAATTAAATGCCTAAGAGATGGTTAACCTGCTCTGCACAAGCATAATCTTCCAATGTCTGCTTTGAAGCAAGTTCTGGATTTGGTCCTCACTGTTTATCAAATGGCCTTCACTCAACCTGCACAGGTAATGTTCCCAGCGACGCTTTTATACCTTGGCTTCTCACCCATTTAGCTTCTCTAGGCACAAATAACCACAAATTCATTTATGTATTCTCTGTTCTTGTTTGCAAAGCATTTACACGTTCTCTATTTTAAAGTTCCCCAGAAAGACCCACTTCAGAAGTAGTCCAGCCAACAAACAATGAGGTGTGTCATCATTTAAACCTGAATACAGGTTTAAAATGTCAAACCACTTTATTTTCCAATAAAATGTTTAATTCAGGCTTTGAGGAGCTATAGTCTTGGATAAATTTGTTGTTGCAATTCCTTAGTTTTCTGTTGAGGAAAAGATGCTTTTCATGGACAATACAAGATATATACAACCTAAGGAGTCTGAGTGTGGGAGGGACTGATCTACATAAATCTTTGATTTAGTTTTTAAATTAAAGATATTCAGAAAAATCTTTACAGACCATTTCTATTTCTAGCAATCTTTTTCAGTGGAAATTAAAACAATACAAAATGCTGTTTCAGCATTCCTCTAAACACTTTTGATAAGCAAAGCTGCAAATTTTAAATGAATCATTTGATTTTTGTTCAAATAAAGCAGTTCAGGTGAACCGAAGCTAAGTCTGTCTTGAATTTTCGAGGTATGTGAAAATACCATTTCCATTTCCCTAAACTAAAACACTTTTTTGAAAATCTGAAATTGCTACTGCACCAAAGAGATGGGTTCTGCATAACTTCCTACACCCCCCACCCCAATCTTAATTCTGAAGACCTAATTTCTCTCCTAGATTGTGAGGAACTGTGTTAAGTGTGGAGGAATTTCCCAACTACTAATGCCACTTACGACAATAACAACTCATAATAATAATAGTTTTAAAAAATCTCTGTGCTGAAATGCTTTGTTTGTCTTTTAAATGCTTTTTATTTCCAAAATGTTCTTAATGAAACTCCATTCATCACATTTCTTAATATTAATGCACTCACGGCTGGATGCACTCTTCTCTTTTTATGTTGTCATCAGATTCTTAGCACTGTGAATTAGTGTGATATAGAGATGCTATTGATTTTATAGACATTTGCTTGATAATATCTTTTTTCTTTGGCACAGTAAGGCTTATTCTGACCATGGCTGGAAGAGCTACATAACACCTATCAGATGCCTGATTGTTACCTGAAGAAACCTAATAAAAAATGAACACCAAAACAAAACAAAACAAAACAAAAGCTCAGTACAAATTTCTGTCATATAGTTTCTTTTTCAGCCTGAAAGCCTGTTTCTTATTAGTCAGTAATTGTTCAGCAGTGCAGCCATCACATTTACAGTTAAAGAGAAACATCTGTTTATACCTGAGGCATCATTTGTCTATAGAAAATTAGTCCTAGTACATTCTTATAAAAATCAAAGTGCTTTTTGAGGGGTTGCTGATTGGGTGGGTTTAGCAAAATTAGCACCAATAAAGTTGTGGGAGAGAGTGAAAATACAAGCATAAAGCAGATGAACTGAGGGTGACTTATGTCCCGTGCAGAACTCCTTTGAAACAGCTGGATCTCTCAGTCTCCATAGACTGAATAGAGGGAGCAGGTGAACGTGTTCACATGAACTTCCCTGCTGTGCCCGTGTGGCCAAGGTGACATAGAGGCAATTACTTGCATGTAATAAAAAGGAGTGCAAGTCATTGGATTGCAAGTTAAAAAAAAATCAAGATAGATAGATAAAATAAAAATGATCACAAGTGTTGACCCAAAGAGGAAGCTGTGTATTTTCCCATGCTGGTAATGGATTAAGGAGTGCACAATTCCTTCAAGTAGGTATAGTTGTGAGAGAGAGTTTTGCCCTTTGGAAGCTGTAGGACCTGAAAGCACGATGATGATGAAAAAAAATAGTGACTGTAAAGTTATGAAGGGTGTGAAACAGCTCTGAGGATTCCCAAAGAACACTCAAACACAAATGTCAAGAGACTACATAGGGGTTTGCATTTTGTCTTCCTTAACTATGGATGTTCAGATATTGATCAGTGGAATAAAGTTATTGAGCAGCTGGGAACACCCTGTCCAGAATTCATGAAGAAGCTGCAGCCAACAGTACGGAACTACGTTGAGAACAGACCTAAGTATGCTGGCCTCACTTTCCCCAAACTTTTTCCAGACTCTCTCTTCCCGGCTGACTCCGAACACAACAAACTCAAAGGTATGTCTGACAAAGGGATGTGGTTCACGTGCCAACAGCTATGATGCAATGAAGTGGGGGGGGG